AGGACCTCCGCAGAAGAAAACACACTATGCACCAATGTACCTCGGGTTAAATACTTAATTCGTTCCGGAGGTCCGTACTTAACCTGAAACTGTTCTTAACCTGAAGCATCACTTTAGCTAATGGGGCCTCCTGCTGCCGGCGCACCGCTGGAGCCCGATTTCTGTTCTTATCCTGAAGCAAAGTTCTTAACCTGAAGCACTATTTCTAGGTTAGCAGTGTGTGTAACCTGAAGCGTATGTAACCTGAAGCATATGTAACCGGAGGTACCACTGTATCAGCTTTAAATGAATTAAAGGGGGAGTGCTCCAAGTATACAGCTGCTTATGGGTGTAAAGATAAATCAGTAATCTGTCAAGGGGTTGGTAATAGTCTCATTAACTGAAAAAATAGAAACTTTCCAAATAAATAAATACAGTAACCGTAAGTGGTTCCATTTTTATGGTAGTCAAATTGTTCCATATATAAATCTCCACAGTCAGGATCCCAAGTACTATTTTAGGTGTGCCCAAGGCTGTGTGAAATGGCCAGGGGGATTCTCAACATATTTTTTTTTCTTTTATTGGCAGACTTCTGTGCCATATCACAAACAACTTTTGAAGTCCTGTCAGTTTCTAAAGCACTCTGAAATGAGGCATTCCTTATCAAACCAAGTCTGTCTTTTAATCTTTTTGTTTTTTATCACACTAGTTGTGGTCAACAGTGGGCGCATTCGGTTGATTATATTCTCATAAAGTCCGATTATGTTTCCTGTTTCTAACAACATTTCCCCCTTTAATAAAGCAAAGTCATGGGAATCCAGGATCTGAATCATTTTTTCTTGGACCTGTGCATTCCATTTTAACCTTCTATTTCCAAGTATCAGATATTCCGTTTCATCCAATAATTTAGGAAAGGCAGGAGGCATTTCAGGGTGGGGCTACTGTTTGAGAACTCCCCTCCACTTAAGTGCATGGATTGTAGAGGTTTCCTGAAGCCAAAAACAGTCACATATTAGACTAGAAGCATTTCTCATTGTGGCTTTTAGTTACCAACCTAAAATGAAATTCAAGCTCAATTTGTAAGCTTCCATTCACAAGCCAGCCACATACAATATTTCAATAGGGATTAGAAAAAGTTTCGATAAGACTAGTTAAATTTCTCATGGGGCTTTTGCATATAAACTCAATGAACTAGGCAGAGAAAATCAGCTGGGGTTAGTCTAATAATTTATTTGCAGACGTTTAAGATAAATAGTATATTTCTGGTTCATACAAATTTGCAAAATGGCCTTTTTCAATATTCTGATTTATCATATTTGGGGCTTCGTAAACATAGAGCCCCCAAATGATGCTTCTCTTGGTGAAGGGCACAAGATGTAGGTTGTAGGGACAGGGTCAGGGGTCTGCCACTAAGGACAGGTGACTAGAGTCCAGCAGAGAAGACCGGGGAGGAAGCAAAAACAAGTTCAGTTTTGGCAAGCTCCCCACTCATTGCCTGACCTATGTTTAGCAATTCTGATGTGTTACTGAGCAGACAGCTCAAGCTTGGGATGAGTAATCTCCCTTAGTCCCTCTTCAGCAGGCAATGAAAGCAGGTTCCACTTTGAAAATTCTTCCCCCATCATGCAAGCTGACACAGGCATGCTTTTCAAAAACCCACAGCCAATCTGTTGATCATTACTTATTTACAAAGGCCTTCGGGCAGAAAGTCCTGTAAAAACCATACTTGATATGGTATACACTAGCTTTTTCGGCTTGTAGAAGGGGAGGGGGGAAGTCCCCCTAAGGCTACCTCAAACCATCACTTTCTATTGCACATAAAATGTACCGTGTAACACTAAAGTATTTAATATATATGGTATAATATATCTACAGGAAAGGCATTTGTGTAGAAGTGTGTTAGCCTGTATTTGGTAATTTGATGTTTTGCTGAAGGCTATGACTTGAAAAAGCCTGCACCTAGTGCCGAGGACCTGTCATCTCAGTACCCAAGAGCCGGTAGAATAAAGAAGTACCCTAAAGCAGCAAAACTTTGACACAGCTTTGAAGCATATGAAAACAGTATAACTCCCTAGAATTATTATGACTCAAGATCAAAGAAATGAGGCATACTTTACATAGCAAACAGGGACAGTGCACTTCACTCCAAATGTTCCTCTGCCCCCTTCTCTCTCTCTCCCTCTTTCTCTCTCTCTCCTTTTATTTCACATTGATGCCCCTACATTTGTTAGATGATAGAAGGAATGGGAGGTGGGGCGCTCCCCCCCCCCCGCCTTTAAAATTTCAAGTGGGTAAAACTAATGGAGATGAGATGACTTAGAGATAAGTGGGTTGGAAATGATGGAATGACAACATGCACCATACAAGTGAGAAAGTTCTCCCCCACCTCCCATAAACATGTATGCAAACCAGTATTGCACAGGCAATTACTGTAGTTTACATAGGCTTAGTTAACAGAAACTCAGGGAGCATTTAGAACAGCAATTTAATAGCGATACATGGCCTGTAGTGGGCAAAAAGGACAGAACTAGGTGCATTTCCCCTTTAAAAATCAACCCAGGTCCTGCCATCCTAAATTATTCCAATGGAAACAACTTGGAGATTCGATGGTGGTCTCAGAGGTGACTTACTGCAGGAGCAATTGAATGCATATTTCTCTAAGCTGCATTTAGTGATAGAAAGTGTGGGGAGGGGAAGTAAGATATGGATTTGTTGACAGCCATCAGAGAAACATTGACCGCTGCCAGGTAGTGATGCCTGTAGGAATTCAACCTTTGTGAGTTCCTATACAATCTGACTTGCACCTCTCAAGCTAATGTGAGGATCAAAACACAGTGATCCTGATGTTGGATTCTGCAAACGTGGTTCTCAGGGGGTTTTTAAAATATTATTTGGGAAAAAATATTTTTAAAATTGTGTATTCTGTGATAAAATTTATTAAAAATATGTATTTAAATGCAGATTTTCAAAAATTGTACGTTTTTACCAAAACAGGCAGAGCAGAGCTGTGAACACATGTAAATGGGTCACAGACCAGAAACAGGCTGATCTGTCCATCAATATTGCCACTGAAATAAGATAGCAGTTAAGCTGAAAAATCAAATAATTGCAAATATTTGTGTATTCATCAAAGGAGGGAGAGTGATGTTGCATTCAGGTCCTGCTTCTAGATCTCCCATAAGCATCTGGTTGGCCACTGTGAGAAGTGGGCTCTGGACTAAACTGGTCCCTGGCATGATCTGGCAAGGCTCTTCTTATGTTCTCCTTTAATCAAATGCATCCACTTGCCTTTCTGCTGATTTAGGTACGATAATTTGGATCTAAATTGGTCATAATTTGTACTCAAAGTTCAACTTTACATGAAAATACTTGCAGGGAAAAGGGACTAACATCGTGTCCCAAAATTTCTGCAACAGTGCCATCACAATGTCCATGTAACATGGCTTTGGAGTGTTGCAGTGGTGTAGCTGTGGTACTCCTCTGCTTGTATGTATAACATTTCTTAAAATGTGGTTGTAAAATCACCACCACCACCACTATTGGTAGGGGATTCTTGGCAAGTGAAACAGACTTCAAAGAGGAATATTTTTTTACAAATTCAGTGGGATGGCCCTTACAGAATCATTAATAGAATTTGGCCAACAGCAAAATCTAAAGTGAACTTGGGGCCTCCTACTAGAGCGAAACATCTGAGGAATTGCGAGGGTTTTAGTAAGGCTACCGATTTGTTTCTTGGCAGTGGGTATCCCAGATATCTCTATTCTGCCACGGGATTTTGCCTAAAGCAAAACTCAGGGTAATGTGGAGATTTTTCTCAGGACAAGAAAGTTTTAATAAGATGAGTGAAAACCTCTGTCAGCTCAAGGGCCTCATTCCCTTCTGGTCAACTTCCTAGGAGTCACATGGCAGTGGTGGGTGGAGTCAGGGGCAAGTGTGGGCGGGGCAACAATGGCGAATTTTAGCTTTGTACAGTAGATTAGTTTCTATACACACTCAGACACTCCATCCTAACATCCATCCAGACAAGCAAGAGTTACTATCTGAGTGTGAGGACGCACACTCTAGCCTGGAAGAAACACTCAAGTGATTAGAGGCCCATGAGGGATGTGGTCTGAGGAGAGAGGGCTTCACTGGGGATGGGGTGTAACATGGGGAGAGTTCAAGACAAGCCTGCTAAGGGGCAGCAGTTCCCAGAGACTTAGTATACAGCCTCAGGTGGGCTTGCTTGCAATATCAGCTCCAGAAAACCTTTGCTTAGGGCTCATCCCACGAAAGTAATCTATAGGGGAGCTCTACTGGAAACAAATGCTGCACATCTGAAAACACATGGGAGGGGAAAACCACTAACATCCATAATATGTTTTCACCACCTGCCTTCATAATGTCTTTTTTTTAAAAAAGCAAAAGTCCCCTTATTTCATAATTAATATTGCTTTTAGCCTCAGTAAAACTGCATTAGTTTCGAACTTTGCTTTGGCAAGTACAAAGATTACTAGACCTTAAAAAAAAACCCACAGTCAAAATCAATTAGGGGAAATTTGATTTCAATCGACAGGATAAAAGGAAGGTAATATTCAGGTTCATTTTTGATTGTGATGATACATCTCACATATGGCCTTAAGTACAGAAAACAGTACTCAGAGGGATTCCGACAAAAAGAGAATTGCCCAAGGCAAACTAACCACATGAGTTCTTCTGATTGGTTAGTGCTATCATTAGTGCCACTGCTGTTTAAGAACTACACATGGACAGGACAGGGTGACAGCTAAGACTTTAAAGCCTATGTATTTTTCAAACAGCTTTTCAAACTGTTTTTCATGACAGATTTTTTTTTCCAGCTCTATCATTAACTGCTGACAAGCTGACAGAATAAATACTTCAGCCTTTCAGAAACCATCTAACAATCTTCTCCTTTCCCCACCACCCTGCCATGACACCCCCACAACGTCCACCACCATTTTTATTGGGGAGGAGGATATGTTGGGAGAGGAGATAAAGATGCGAGTTGCTTAGGGTCTTACCTCATCAGCTTGGGTGAGGAGTTGGGCGAATTTCTCATGCCTCCGTTTCGCTGCTTCTTTTTGGGCGAGAGTGTCGTCAGCTGCTGCTCATCTTCAACTGGAAATACAGGCAACCCATGATGAGGTTAGGATCAGCTCAGATCGCCACACGTCATACAGGCGAAATATGAGAACACACACGCACACAATTCCATTCACACACTGATACTTCACTGCTATCTTGTCTATGCTCAATAAAGACCAAACTGGTGTTAGTCAAAATAGATCAGTTTGAAAGACGAGGAAGAGAAGGAGGAAAGAGAAGCAAGGTATTGACTGAAGAAGTTATGACATGCTTTCATAAAAGATCATCCTTTTTTTCTTTTAGTTAAGCTGCGTTTTTGGAAAACGGAAATTAGTGTCCTGATGCATACACCAAAAGATGAAGTCTATTCGGAATCCGAACACTGAACGTTACCAGACTGCACTTTATTAAAGAACCCAATACCCATCGGTTCTGACTCCTTGAATGCCAGACCACAGAGTCTTTGTGAAGAGATGTGCAGCATTCAATGCCTTGATATTCAATGCTTGCAATAAATAAAAACTCTGCGGCTGCGCATTGATCTCCAGCACAACTCAGAACTCATCGCTTCACCCTTTATCACAAAAGGGGATGGTTATCACAGGAGCAGGTGGAACGAGACCAAATGGCGGGAGAACTTCCTGTATAACGAAGGATGGGAATTGTGGCAGAGGTTCTTTTGATGGGGGTGAAGTGCACTTTGAGTGGAAGATCATCTTCTGAATAGTAAAACAATAGCAGCCAACCACCTTAATATTAATAAAAACAAAACCGCCTTTGGCTAACACTACTGCACGAGGGTCTTCACCTCACCCAAAATTACAGCAAGTTTCCTTACAAGCTAGCAGTAAGTACTATACTTATTCAAGTCATCGAATCTAATATGCACCTCAATTTTCAGAATCTTGAAACCAAAAAAAGTATTTGCTGGCGAATGTAAATGTCCCATCAAATCTAATGCACACCTTAATTTTCGCAACATAATTTGGTCAAAAATGTAAGCATTAGATTCGAGTAAATACAGTATTTAACCACTATTGTTAATGTTTAAGGCTCTACCATTTATCACTCTAAGCAGATCAGAGCTCTGCCACTTTAAAGAGCTTCTTTCTGCTAATGTCCCATATGAGAAATTTACACAAACAAAATAAAACAAGTTTATTTCCATCCTGTAACTAAAAAATAAAAATAAGACTAAATATGACTGAAGTGGCTGAGCCTTAGGTAGCAGTTGTGTCCATGTTAAAAGAAAAGGAGCAAAAAGTACATCAGTGAGAGTGATGTTATGAATCACTATGAGAACTGTGGCCAAAGAGCAGGATGAAAATTAACAAAAGAAACAAAGAACTATGTGGATATTACAATGACCCACTTAAAAGGTAGATCTGATTTAAAATACTAATCCATTTCCACAGAATTATAAAATGCATCTTTCAAAAAACAAAAACAAGGAAATGCCATTCTGCATGGCACAAGCACTGCAAAAGTCAAATTGCTTAATTTCCCGAAATGATCCCCGCCAAAAGGGATCACATAGGAAACAGCACCACTATCAGTTTGATTGGGAGAGAGTTAAGCATGTGTTTTATGTTGCCACTGAAATCAATGGTATATAAATGCACTTGACTTCAGTTTCATTTTCACTGCTTCTAGGGAATTCTAATTGCAACGCAATACATAAGAAATTGAAGAAAAATGTGGCTAAAATTCATACAGCATCTAGCACGGCACATTACAATTGCTACAATAGGCAGAAAAATAGGTGGTCCACCAAGACCTTCAGCAATTTTCAACTGGCCCATGGCAGGGGAGGGGGGAAGGTTTGGGAACCACTGTATTAACTGATTCCCCAATTAACTGCTTCCTGAGCAGCACATATGGATTGCAAATGAATTAAAAAAAAAATTTAAACGACCGTTTCTAAACGTTACTACAGACCATGAAAAGCCAACAGCAGAGCCCACTGCAGCTGGCACCATTTTAAAAACACCACCATTAAACACACACACACAAATTTTATTACAATTTTGAAGGGCTGATGCTGATTGGAGAAGAGCCAAACCAGGTAGCTGAAGCACCTGTACTTTCCTTTTCCCACAATATGTCTCTTCTCTACTTAGTGAAGGACCTACCTTTTTAAAAAAAGAAGAAGGGGGACAGGGGTACCAGGGGCACTTTCCTTATAATAATAATAATTTTTTTTTATTAATATCCCACCCTCCCCAGCCAAAGCCAGGCTCAGGGCGGCTAACAACAATAAAATAATACAACATTCTAAAATCATTTCATTAAAAAATTACTTCAAATCAAATTGATGGCAACCATTAGGCTAGAGTTCTGTGAAGATTGCCGAAGGAGAGAGTCAGGCTGTGCCCTGGCCAAAGGCTTGGCGGAACAGCTCTGTCTTGCAGGCCCTGCAGAAAGATGTCAAGTCCCTCAGGGCCCTAATCTCTTGTGGCAGAGTGTTCCACCAGATCGGAACCACAGCCGAAAAAGCCCTGGCTCTGGTTGAGGCCAGCCTAACCTCTTTGTGGCCTGGGACCTCCATGATGTTTTTGTTTGAAGATCGTAAGTTCCTCTGTGGGACATACCAGGAGAGGCGGTCCCGTAGGTACGAGGTCCGTAGGTCCCGTAGGCAGTCCCACTGCAGGTTTACCAGGTGGCAGAAGTGGGAGCAAGTGGCAGGTAGAGTCAGTGGCACTGAAATGCCCAGCCCCATTTTTGCACCTTTAAAAGCTGGGCCTAATGCTGAGTGGGGCGGGGGGGGAGGTATTATAGAGGGAAGCAGAGGCTGGTCACTACAACTGCTTGGCCTGGTGCTCCTCCACTAAGCACCAGCTTTTAAAGGAAGAAAAAGAAAGCAGGGACAGGCGATACCAGCACCCTCACCATCTGGTGGGCTTATGGGATGTACCTGGAGATGCTCTGGGGAAGGGCCTGCTGGGCAGCTTGCCCAGGGCCCTGTGCAACCTATTCCTTGACCTCAGGCACTCTCAAATGCCTGGTGAAGCAGATGCACTTTCGGTGGCTTACAAAGATGATGTGTGGCCTGCCCTGGGAACTAAGTCTGCCGCCGCTGAAAACATCTTGCCCCATGCCTTCGCCACCTGCACCTGACTTTCAGATGGGACTTGGAGCAGAGCTTTATCCAACGAGATCTCATCACCACTATTCAGGATGCAAAAACCTCTAAGTTAAGAGTGCTGTGATTTGCTTGGCGTGGGACAAAGCACTTGTAGACAAGAACTTTGCTCCGACTCCTCTCTTGTTTGGGCATCGAGTTAAATTAGGCAAGCGTTTGGGGAAGGGGGGAATGCAAACTCCCTCGATTTCTTCTTGATCCTCTTATCCCAAAGTAATTCACTTTACACATTGAGCAGTAGTTTTATTATTATTATTATTTCTTAGCCACCTTAGATATTTAAGACTAGAAAGGTGAGATAATAGTTATTTAGGTACAGTGGTGCCTCGCAAGATGAAATTAATTCGTTCCGCAATTTTTTTCTTCTTGCGAGTTTTTCGTCTTGCGAAGCACGGTTTCCCATAGGAATGCATTGAAAATCAATTAATGCGTTCCTATGGAGACCGCTTGCCAGGCTGGCGGTGCGGAGAAGGGCTTTTCTCCCCACCGCAAGCCTTCAGGACAGCCATCCGAAGGCTGGCGCAGGGAGAAGGTCTCTCCGCTCCGCCGCCAGCCTTCGGAGCAGCATTCCGAAGGCTGCCGGTGGGGCGGAGAGACCTCCTCCCGTAGCCAGCCTTCGGAGCAGCCTTCCGAAGGCTGCCGATGGGGCGGAGAGACCTCCTCCTGCCCGCCAGCCTTCGGAGCAGCCTTCCGAAGGCTGGCGGCGGGAGGAGGTCTCTCCGCCCCGCCGCCAGCCTTCGGAGCAGCCATCCGAAGGCTGGAGCGGGGAGAAGGTCTCTCCGCCCCGCCGCCAGCCTTCGGAGGAGGTCCGAGGACAGTGGGGAAGACGCGCTGCGCTTCCCCGCTGTCCCGGAGATTTCCCTATGGGCTTTTGTCTTGCGAAGGAAGCCCATAGGGAAATTCGTTTTGCGAAGCGCCTCCAAAACAGAAAACCCTTTTGTCTAGCGGGTTTTCCGTCTTGCGAGGCGTTCGTCTTGCGGGGCACCACTGTAAATCATTTGGGGGGGATATGGGAGAGGATGCTTCCTAAAGTATGTCGATCCCAAGACAAAATAGAAATTGGTGGTTAAAATAACACAGAGACAGCTTCAAAGAAAAAGGGTAATAACAACCAAATTTTAATTTACATGAACTAGATCTTGCTCTCAACCACTTGGCCTGGCCTCCCTGGAAAGGTAGGCATTGGGATTCCTCTATAGCAGGCTTCCTCAGCCTCGGCCCTCCAGATGTTTTTGGCCTACAACTCCCATGATCCCTAGCTAGCAAGACCAGTGGTCAGGGATGATGGGAATTGTAGTCTCAAAACATCTGGAGGGCCGAGGTTGAGGAAGCCTGCTCTGTAGATCCCCCCCAACACCCACACCTCAAGTTTCTCACACCTCCGAAGTCTGGAGAACTCTTAATTGTTCGTGAGTAATGGGACTTGTTCAGAAAACTGGTCCCAAGAACAAAGCTAAGAAGAATGCAAAACACTGAAGGCAAGCAGGTTTCATTCTGGTGTTTCCCCCTCCCTGAGCTTCATAAACTAGCTCTGGATCGGGCATCCATTGTGCCAGCTTAACCTAAGTTGACATAATTTACACCAGCTTTCTATGCTTAGGATGGCCCAATTAATTGTTAACACTGCATATTTATTGAACTGCCTTTTAATGAAAATGTGTTCTTTTTTTGCTGAACTGATAAAATTATTATTGTTTGTTTGTTTGTTTAACTATTCTGGAAAATAAACTGACATCAATGCATGTACAGAATTACGCAGGCTTCCTTTTATCAATTCTGAAATACAGAGGTTCAGGAATTTGACACAGAATATTGTAGGATCTGAACTCCCATCCCGTAAAATCCAAGACCTCGGTTTTCTAGATAGCTTTGATTGTAATACATAATATAC